GAGAGAGAGAGAGAGAGAGAGAGAGAGAGAGAGAGAGAGACCATTCTGGGGCTGTTGTTGAGTACTCTCAAGTTGCTTCCAACTGATAGTGCCTCTGTACAGGGTTTGCAAGTTTATAAATCTTTTCAGGAGAGGAAGCCCTCATCTTTCTCCCATGGACTCGAACTGCCAGCCTTGTGGTTAGTAGTTCAATGGTTATCCTACAGAGCCTCAATTGTTGTTATGTGCCGTGGAGTCGGTTCCCACTCATAGTGACCCTGCACAGGGTTTCCGAGGCTGTTAATCTTCACGGGAGCAGAAAGCCTCATCTTTCTCCCGCGGAACAGCTGGTAGTTTCAAACTGCTAACCTTGTGGTTCGCAGCTGATTCGTAACCACTACGCTACCAGAGCCTCAGTACTCCCTTATAATATTAATTTGTTGCTAAAAGGATATGTTATTTTGTTAAGTGCCATCAAGTCAGTTCTGACTCATAGTAACCCTGTATAGGGTTTCCAAGGAGCAGGTGGTGGGTTTGAACCATCAACCTTGTAGTTAACAGGCTAGTGTTGATCCTACAGCACCATACCATGGCTCTATAATGCTCTATATACTTGAGACTTACTTGTTACCCTTAATGATGTCATGGATTATTTCACTGTGAAAATGAACTAAGTGTTTGCTAATTTCTAAATCTCATCTTTCATTTTACCCCTAAATTTATATCCAATAATTTTAGAATCCCTTATCATTCATAGCCAACAGACCTCTTATAAAATATAAACTAGAGATAAATTTTTCGGGCCATCTACTAGAATACAGTAGGTTAACCAAAACTTAGATTAGAAAGTGAATTTCTTTAAGCATGTCTAGTTTAAGAAAATATTTTTCTGATCTCACTTTTCATTTCTTTATTGATTAAGTAGGCCACCTGCATTGTACACTGGAGTTTCTTAACTTTGGTTTTTTGCTTTCTTATGTGACTTTATCATCTGCCATCAGAATCTCCTTATAAACTAGAATGTGTTGCTCTTAACACAGGGGGATATTCTGTACAAATGAGGGGAGCAGAGTAAATCATTTCCAGCACATGCTGAATCCTAAGCTATGAAACCTTCAGGTTCCCAGGTAGTCCTAGCACAAGTACAGTTAGCACAAGCACTAATAATCAAACAACAGCAAGTCATATGTTTTCCTGTGAACTCTGGGTCTAGTCACCTGAACTCATCTGTCTCATATGTCACTCTACCCTTTCTTAAAAGCTCTTTGGCAGTGTTTTTACATTCAAACACAACTTTTATAAGTTATTTTTCAATGCCACAAATGTCAGCATCTTAGGTACTCATCTATGTTGTTATTGTTAAGTGCCACCAAGTGGGTTCTGACCCATAGTGACCCTGTATAGGGTTTCCGAGGAGTGATTGGTGAGCTTGAACCACCGATCTTGTGGTTCAAACCAACTTTGTAATCCCACGCATTAACCCATAGCTCATCCATAGCAACTTTGAAAAATGGGAGGGAGAGGGAGCAACATTGGAGAGTTTATTTCAAATGAATTAGGGCAGTAGTTTAGTGAGCCAGTGTGCCAGTTTGGAAATGGACTCTCTTCTCTTGCTGAAGAGCTCTTTTTAAAATAAATTACAATCATAAAGCTGCCACGGTTTACTATGCATAGACATGTTCAGAATTGGATCTCCTTCATGAAAGTTGCTTTGTGCAGGTATTTAAGCTACTGGCAACAGGGCTAACAGCTCACTAAACTGAAAATATGCTGCAGTAAGATACCTGCGTGAAAAACCTGTTACGTGTTGTGCTGTTATTCTGTGTGTCTGTTTAAGCTTTCCTGCAAAACAAGTTGACTTTCTTAAATTGTTTAAAAAAAATAAACTCCGAGAGCCTGGAGAGTTGCATAGTCTTAGTACTATCGATTTTAATTGTTTATAAAAACTCAGAAGAATAAGATGAAAAACAAGATGAACACATTGCTGCCAATAGAATCAAGTGTTTATGTCACTGAGCTGACACAGACTTGGATAATCTTCTGTGTATATGTGTGTGTGTGTGAGTGTAAATTAGAGAGTGTATTTTCACACTAGAGGTTATTGTTTCTACTTGCTTTCATTCAAGCATACTAGCTTAATGTTTGTATAACATGCTGAGATGGCACATTCAGCTATATTTCTTATAAAATGTTGAAGAAATTATCAGATTGCATTTTTTGTATGGTTTTATATAGTACCTCCTATGGAAGATTGTAAGGAGCAAGACCCTATTATGGACAACAATATTTCTCTGGTGCCTTTTGAGAGACCTGCTGTCATAGAGAAGCTCACGGGGAATATGGGAAAACGTAAAAGCTCCACTCCACAAAAGTTTGTGGGTAAGCATTAAAAATGCTTTTATTTCTTTAAAAGGTGATTTTGATGACCAAAGGCATATTCCCACATGCTAGAAACATATAGGGTGTATTTCAATTCATGAAATAAATACCAGTGTCTTTGTTCCATTCTTCTTCCTCACTCCATGCCAGTCCATGTGCACCACCCTAAAACCCACATCCATATAGGCATATGGGACTAAGAAAGAGAAATGGGGGAGGACTGATAGTAATCACTCACTAGCTCACAGTGAAATTAAATGTAAAGTGAAATAACTAAATAGCTTAAAAATATAAAATACTCAAGTTATTTAAAGCATTATTATAGCGATTAGGGGAAGAGGTATAATCTATCTCAATGGTTAAGTGCTTGGCTGCTAAGCAAAGTGTCAGCAGTTCTAATCCCAGCCGCCAGGTAGGGGAAAGAGAGGGCAATCTGCTTCCATAAAGATTACAGTTTTAGGTACCCTATGGAGCAGTTACAGGGTTGCTCACTCTGAGTCAGAATTGGCTCCACAGCAGGGGAGTTAGGTATTTTTCTTATTGGCCAGTTTAGTACTTTGTTTTAAAATTTGCATTGATTAGCATCAAGTTTTTAACTATTTTCTGTACATAATCTTTTTGTGTTCCATCTATAGCTAAGAGAACTATTTTATTTTTTCTTTCAAATTGTACATTAGAAACAATGAAACAACTCACATTCAAAATGTTTCATTTGTAGATTATAGGTTCTGCTTTTTTTTTTCATCCAAACTGATGGTTTTAAACTGAAAAGATGAAATATTTTATGTATTTAGAATTTCTTTTTTCATTTATAAAGTCTTAAATAGAGCAAGTTAGTTTCTCTTGTGCTCAGATGTAGCATTACTCTGAGTACATGCTGGAAGTCATGAAATATTGAGGAAGATACAAAAAGCATCTATTTTTTTTTTAAAGAATGTATGAATAATTGAGATTCAATATAAAGAATTATGTTTTGGACATGTAAATATTTATTATTTTAGGCTTTAAATAGCACATTAAAAAAAAGAGATTAAAAAAATATTCAAAAGAACATTGTCGAGCATTCTAACATGATGAATGGTGGTTGGGAGAAAAATCTTTCCTTTGGTCAAGAAAGAAAGAGTAATGAAATTATCTTACTTCAGTACGCACTTTTGAGACCATTTTCTTTCCATCTAAAATTGAAGATCTAATAAATAACCAAAGTATCTCTTTAAGAGTAGCTAGAGGAGTTAATGACAGAGATCATTGAATGTAGGATACAAAGGGATTCTAAGATTCGTAGTTTATACTTGGTCTGTTTAAGACACTTGAAATTGGACTTAGAGGCCTGATTGGGCTTTGGGTAACTGCCTTCCTTCTTTCTACCCTGCCTTACTTGCAAAGTTTCTCTATCTGTGTACCTATCTGTTGTTCTTTATGTCTTTCTGCCAGTATTAATTTGATGAATATCTATTAAATGCCGATGTTTCTTCTAGATGTTGAGAAAATGTAAATATATTATCAGTCTTTCTGTCTTCTCAATATATAAAGTTCTGCTCTTTGGAACAATTTCATCATGTTTTCTATGACTTAAAGATGCTAATCTCAGTTTGATTTGATTACATTTCTTAGAAAAGTAGGAAGTATCTTTAAAATTAAGATATGATTTTAAGTAGGACAGTACATTTTCCTTAAGAATTTAAGATGCTTTTGGACTCCATACTCTGGTGGTTGTTCTGTGTCACCGAGTCAGTTCTAACTCACAGCAACCCTGTCCAGCATTTCTGAAGCTATAAATCTTAATGGGAGCAGAAAGCCTTGTCTTTCTCTCGCAGAGTGGCTGGTAGATTTGAACTGCTGACATTGTGGTTAGCAGCCCAGCTCAAAATCCACTATTCTACCAGGGCTAGAAGTAATATATAATAAGCAACAGATATTAGGGGTCTTCAGAAAGTTCATGGAAAAGTATCATTATCTTTTCATTCTATTTCTTCACAAACTTTTGGAAGCCCCCTTGTGCAGTAACTCTTTTTATGATGACTTTTGAAATGAAAATGTGGCCATTCAGTGTTTATTGTAAAATCCTTTTGCCATGTCCCTCAGTAAAATATTGCTGGTTTTACCTCATCAAACTCACTAGGCAAATGTTCCCTGAACATTTTTTTATAACTATTTGCCTCCTGTCTTTTTCTGTGCGGCTTAGAATTCAATGTGTGTTTTTTTGGTTTTGTTTTTGGTTTTTTTTTCTGCCTTTCTTGTCAATATTCTTGACTTCTTGCTTTGTGCCCTTCTCTCATCTTCTCCTGACAAGATCACAGTGACTTCTTCATAGCTACATTCAGTATTTAGTAATTTTAGAAAAAAATCCCACAACCTTGCCAATTTATGTTACTGTAAATAAATGAATAAATATTTTAAATATCAGTTGTCCCATCCATACTACCTTGCATCATGCCCTTACTCCATCCCTAAGCAATCATCTCACCGATTTTTAACTTTGCCTATTACAGACCTTCTCTACTCTTCTCAAAATTGCTATCTCATTCCTTGATGATCTTATATCTATATTTTCAGGAGGAATAAAATTGGTTGAAAATAATTTTAATCGAACCAACTCGACAGCACTTAACAACAACATCACCAATCTCAGGATTATGTGTGTCTCCATGTGTGCCTAACTTCAGTAAAAGTATCCTTTCTGATTAAGAGGAATTACTCTGAAATTCTCCGTTCTTGTCACCTCAAATACCTCACACTGTTACTTTTCTCTTTTTTAGTTCTATATGTTCAGTCTCTCCCCTCTGTTGGCATTTTCCTATCAGCATTTAACGTGAAGAACCCTCATCACTGGGGGAAAAATATTCTTCTTCAAACCCATATCTTCTGATGCCGTCTAATTTTTCCCTCTCTTCAAAGATTGGCTTGTTGAAAGACTACTTGAGGCTTGATTTCCATAATTGTTTTCTCTCTACTCATTTCCCACTCTAGGCAACCTGGCTTCTGTCTCATGTTCTACCTCTCATGGAGGTTCACTGCTGGCTTCTGTATTGCCAAATCCAGTGGGCACTTTGTAGACTGTAATTTACACAACACCTAGACTGCATTTGTCACTATTGAGCAGCCCTTTCCTGTTGAAAAACTCTTTCCTCAGTTTGTTGATATTGATCTTTCTTGCATTTCCTCCAACTTCTCTGACTGTTCCTTCTCAGCCCTCTAACAGCTACATAAATGGGTCAAAAATACTGATAGAGGCATAATCATATGCTGTGTCATTGTTGTTAAGTACTGTTGAGTTGGTTCCAACTCATTGTGACTCTGTATAGGGTTTCCAAGGAGCAGCTGGTGGATTTGAACTGGCGACTTGGTGGGTCACAATACAATGCTGATCCTACAGTGCCATACCAGGAGTTCAATCATGTGCTTAGATATTTAAATATCATAAGTTAATTTGAAAAACTGCTAAAATATGTTTAACCTCCTAATATGAACAACTTTGAATATAGAATTCTCAGATTCCTTGGAGTTCCACACCAAAACTTGATAGTGGATAGAATCACCCTGCTGCCTGCAGCCCAGTGCCCTGTTTTCCCACTCCTGGTTCTGTCTAGTATTGAAGGGGCCTCACATACACTCATGTGTAGATGCTCCATTCAGCACATTCTAGTTATTTTCACACTGTACTTATACACATAAAAGGCTGTTCCTTGTCCAGTCCACAGGCCATGAACATACTAGCAGGACATTTGATACTCAAGAGAATGTTGTTGTTGTTAAGTGCCGTTGAGTCGATTCCGACCCATAGCGACCCTGTGTAGGGTTTCCGAGCAGCAGCTGGTGAGCTTGAACCACCAGCCTTGCAGTTCTGGTGCATTTAGCCCACAGTGCTACACCAGGACTCCACTCAAGAGAATAGACCCTTATTAAGAGAACTGAAACAGGCTCAGAGCCTTTGTAATCTTGGGAGGTGAACTCCAAATAACAATGTCACTTGGTCCCATAGTCTCCTTATTGCACAAGAAGTCAGGCTCAGGGATCAGTGAGCATGGCAGTCAGCGCAGGAGCCCTTCTCGCCTGGGCTCTGGGTAGGCATAAAAATCTTGGTGTTCTTCCAGATGCTATTTTTGTCCCTTTTTTCTTCACACTTTACCTATGCCTGGGTGATATCATCTATTCCCATGGCTTCAGAAGTTACTTTCCATCAACTGATAGCTCTCACATCTACATCTCAAGACCAGATCTCTTTCCTGAGTTTGAGACCATATCTAAGTGCTTTCTGGACATGACTGTTACTCATGGTTTTCCTCAAACTGAATTCATCATCTTATTAATCTCATTACCATCTACTCTCTTTCCCAGGCCAGAAACTTGGCCTTCATATAACTCCTTTATCTTTCTCATTCTCATTGTTCAGATGATTAGCAAATTTTAGCAATTGTAATTTCTGTCTATTCCATTGACTTTGCTTAATCTCCACTGCCTCTATACTAGATTGGACCCCCTTAATCAACAACTTTGTAACCTCTCTTGCTAAATGAATAGCCAATCAGGACACTTCCCTGTTTTAAAAACTTCAGTCTTATTCCTCAGACAGAAACTCAAAGTCTTTAGTTGTTGCATGAAACCCTATTTTATTGGACCTTTTATTCTCACAGTTTTCTACTTTTAGTAATTTTGAATTATAAATAATTCCTAGAAAAACCCATGCCCTTCTGCCTCTGAATCTCCCTAGCAGTTGCCCTATCCCCATGTTCTTTCCCCTGACTAACACTTACCATTAAATTCTGACCTCTGATGCCACTTCCTTCACCCCCCTCCTATGAGTTAAGTATTCCTTAGTTGACTCCATCACATATTATAATCACTTTGTATTATAAATGGTCCCTAATCGGGCTGCTAACCGCAGGGTCAGCAGTATGAAACTACCAGCTGTTTCATGGGAGAAAGAGGAGGCCTTCTGTTCCTGTAAAGAATTACAGCCTCAGAAACCCTGTACAGGGTCACTATGAGTTGGAACGGACTCCATGGCACTTAACCAACCAACCAAATTGCTCTCACTCCCTCTACTTTGTAAGCCCTTTGAAAATACAAAGCAAGTTTGTCTAGCTTAACATTGAAACTCTTGACATTGAAGTATCTTAATTAGAATACCATGAAATCATTTCTAATCATTGTTTTTCTTACATTTTTATTACTCATGATCATTACTCTGATCCCACTTTGAGGATCTTTCTTTATATTTAAACTAATACTAACTGACTACTTGACTACTAAAGGCTTTCCCAGAGTACAGTTCTGTGGATTAACACTCCTTATCAACATTACAAGTTAGACATTCTTGCAAAATTAGCATACTTAACATTATACGAAGTCCACATATGTACATTTGTCTGTGAGGTTTACCTCTAAATATAACTAGGTATTGGTTGAAGGCCACAGAGTTTTAGTGGTAGAATTTTAAAAAGGTGAAGTAGAGAAATCAGAATTGTTCCTCCTGTTTAAGTACCATTTTTATATTTAATCTTCAGACATTCCAGTTGAAGTAAAATTCAACTTAATGAAGTAAATATTAAAGAGAAAACTGTAACAGATTCCATTCAAGGAACATAATAGCAAACTAACAATGGCTGCAAATACCAGTACCATCACATGTAAAAATGGATGAAAGTCAGATACAAGAATGAAAACAAAGAAAAATGCGATTTTTTCCCAGTATATGATCAAGTACTTTTAGAATATATTATTTTTAAATAGCCTCACGTTTTATTTAGGAACCATGGTGGCATAGTGGTTAAAGCACACTTCATGAGAGAAAGATACAGCAATCAGTTTCCATAAAGATTTACAGCCTTGGAAATCCTATGGAGAGTTCTACTCTGCATTGTAAAGTCACTATGAGTCAGATATAGCTCTAGAGTAGTAAGGTTTCTTTGGTGTAAATTTTATCCAATATAGCAGACAATACAACTTTTTAAAGTATTTTAACTATACTTCGAAATTTCTCCAGAATGACATATATTGGTTCTCTATTTATTTATTTATTTATTTTAATATGGAAGTTAAATAAACCAAGTTAACCTTACCTGGTAGTGAGGGGGCAGAAGATAGGATCTCTGTAACTTGGTCACTGATTTTTAAAGTATGCAAAAACAAATATAATCCCTGATTATTTCCATGTGATTATTCTTTCTCCTGAAACTCTTGAGTTCTAAACAAGTGACATTTTAACAGAGAATATAAGTACGATGATAACCCACTCAACCCTGTCAGGATAGACGCAGTCTTATGATGGCATTAGAACAAAAAAAAAATAACTTGTGAAAGCTTTGTGACATTCTGTGCATGTGAGGTGTATTTGTGTTTTTCAACAGAGTTAAAGATCCCAAATGCTTGATCTGAAGAAGAGTATGTACCACATTATAGAAAATGGAGGTGATTGATTAACTGTGTACCCTTTATATCTTTAATCCAATCACTAATTTCGTGCATTCTTTTCTTTTCTTTTGCTCTCCTTCTCCCTTTCAGGGGAAAAGCTCATGAGATTCAGCTACCCGGATATTCATTTTGATATGAACTTAACATATGAGAAGGAGGCTGAGCTGATGCAGTCTCATATGATGGACCAAGCCATCAACAATGCAATCACCTACCTTGGAGCTGAGGCCCTTCACCCTCTGATGCAGCACCCGCCAAGCACAATCGCTGAGGTGGCCCCAGTTATAAGCTCAGCTTATACTCAGGTCTATCATCCAAATAGGATAGAAAGGCCCATTAGCAGGGAAACCTCTGATAGTCATGAAAACAACATGGATGGCCCTATCTCTCTCATCAGACCAAAGAGTCGACCCCAGGAAAGAGAGGCCTCTCCCAGCAATAGCTGCCTGGATTCTACTGACTCAGAAAGCAGCCATGATGACCGCCAGTCCTACCAAGGAAACCCTGCCTTAAATCCCAAGAGGAAACAAAGCCCAGCTTACATGAAGGAGGATGTCAAAGCTTTGGATACCAAGGCTTCTAAGGGCTCTCTGAAGGACATCTACAAGGTCTTTAATGGAGAAGGAGAACAGATTAGGGCCTTCAAGTGTGAGCACTGCCGAGTCCTTTTCCTAGACCATGTCATGTACACCATTCACATGGGTTGCCATGGTTACCGGGACCCACTGGAATGCAACATCTGTGGCTATAGAAGCCAGGACCGTTACGAGTTTTCATCACACATTGTTCGAGGGGAGCACACATTCCACTAGGCCTTTTCATTCCAAAGGGGACCCCTATGAAGTAAAGAACTGCACATGAAGAAATACTGCACTTACAATCCCAACTCCCCTCAGATGTTGACATACTTTTTTTTTTTTTTTTAATATTATTACTGTTGATAATTCTTATTTTGTGAACGCAGTGTCATTTGCTCTGCCTAATTACAATGAGGAAGAAACAGAAGAGTGAAGGGACAGGGGATATTGTTTCTTGATAACTTGGCTTGTCTGTTTTGTAAGGATTTAAAAGCAGTTCATTTCTGCTGCACTTAGATATAAGGTTTATCACACTCTGAAAATCACTTGATTAATACAGATTGACCTAAGAGATGCTAATTTGCCACTGATGTTAGGGATTATGATTGAACACAAGAAAGCTTAGAGTTTCATGGGCAAGATTTTCAGTTTAAAATGGTATAATTAATTTTACTCTTCAGAGAAGAATTTGTTTCAAAATGTAAACCTTTTTTTTTTTTTTAATGCTAGCTAGAGATCATGGAACACAAATCAAACACATTATAATTCTCAGTGCTAACTCGTAGGATGAGTTGTCTTTGTGGATTCTATGTTTACTTTCCCTATGGAATTTATAATACAGTATGATATACATTGTATCATATAGTAAAACTTTTCAACTACAGGTAGTTAAGGACCACCTACAATACATCTGAGGTCCTCTGATCATATTTTTCTAAACTTAAGCACTGTTTTTCCATAGTTTTGATGACTGGCGTTTTATAGACACCCTGGCAGCCTTACTTTGAACAACTCTAATGGATAGTATTTTTTATCTCATTTTCAGAATAACATATGGTCTAAAAGTGGCTAAAAGGCAGCCAGTAGTTTGCAAGTGGGACTTTGACTTTTCAAACATTTGTTTGGAAAGTTTTTTCTTTGTTTTTTCAAGTTGTGTTGGCAATATAGTATACATATTTGTGTCTAAAAGTATGCTTTTGATTGTCACTTTATCAGCATTTAATCAGTGTTAACCAGTCAGCAGAAAAATATAATTAGGCTAACAGTAGGGGGAAAAAAAACACTTAGAAATCCGTTTTCTGGCATTTCTCTTTTCACTGGTTTTTTCAAGCTGTGACTACCTAGTGTTCTGTCTGTAGTCCATTCATCTTCTACTCTTTGAGTAGAAGGTCTTTAAAAAATCTTGCTATAGGCTATTTTTAACAAATCTCCTTGGAACAATTGCTAACTTGACCTGAATGTAGTAACTTGATTCCTGTAAAACTATTGCACGAAGGCTATTTATTCTTATATTTCTTCGGCAATGATATTTGCAACTCTGGGTGCAAGGAAAATTAAACTTTTAACCTGAACATTCGACTCCAGATTGGGAAAAGAAAATCAAGCAAATAAGTTTATTTTAGCTGTTGTAGAATCTAGACTGTGACAGAACCCCCCAAATAATAGTGACTGTGTCTTGTACATTTTTTTCTATTTCAGAACCACTCACCTGTATATAATTGTCAGAAGTGAGTCTCAGTTCCTTACTACAAAATAATTCTTGTTTTAATCCGTACATGACATGTGTTGCCATATTTTATGTGTGGAGTTTAATTTCACGTATGTGGGTGCTCTGTTTATCTTTACAGTCCAACAGCATTAGGGGGAGAAACTGAGTAACACTGAAGGAACGAATTTGGGAAACACAATTGGAAGGCATGTGCTAAGGAAGCACAGGGATATCTGTGACTGGATTATCTGAATACTGAAATTCTGTTAAACAGTAACTGATAACTGCTTTAGAATATCATTAATTAGGATGCTGAAACTTTATACAGTATGATGTGAAAATTACCAAGATTAGAAACTGTAAACAGATAAGCACATCTGGCCCCCTACTGCTCATAACTCCTTTTCGAGTTTATGTATCTGCTTATTTCATCAACTTTTCTGTACTAGATATAGCTAGATCCAGGTAAAAGAGCTACAACTCAGCACTCCTTTATCTGGGTTTCCAGGCCCTGTCACTTTTTTTTTGAGATATCTAAACGATTCATGTAATCTAAGAGAATGCACTATAAGAAAGTTAAGAGATGTATTAAATAGAATGCCAGCTGATGTTATTTTTGTTTTAATTTTTCTGCATGCCTTGGTATATTGTGAATATAAAATTTAATCAGTGGTAACATATATCCTTGAGAATCAATCCCTCATCCCCAACCACCATCTTACTATTCCCAAATAATAAATAGAGTTCCCCGCCTCCCCCTTTGAAGGAAGGTCAGTAATTTTAAGGTCAGTGATTTTGTGTTCTACCAGAATTTAAGGAAACATTTCAGTGATAGTCAATGAGTTCATAACTTTGGCTGTCTGTGAATTTCTGCTGGCATTAGTCTATGAATTCCTGCTTTACTTGTTGCCCATCCCCACCCCCACCCCCCAAAAAAAAAAATAGAATGAACAGTTAGGTACCTTACCTGCCCTGGGGTGAGAGTGAATGTGGGTGGAACTGTAGATTTGTGTAGTACCTCTATGAAAACACTACACATCACTCTTTTATCTGATTTCATCTTTTTGGGATTCTTTTACTGAAAAGACTTAATGTTTGTGAGAGTGTGTTTGATACAAGTATAAATTTGTAATTTCTAAGCTTCATGATATGAGGAACAAAAAGGGGTAGAAAAGGCTCAGGGTGTGACAGGGAGGACAACTGAGGACAAGGTCAATTCAAAGGTATAGGTTAGAAAGAAAGTTATGGACAGAGTACTTTCTGAGAAACTCTGGATGTATATACATGCTTCTTCTTCACAAAAAGAAATATGCAAGGTTATAATAACTAAAAGTAGACATGAGGGTCAGATACCAAATAAACCAAGTTTTATATAACACATGTATGCTCAGTTTATATAGGTGAGAGTTTACATTACAGAAAGTCTTTGAAGGACATGAAAATGGGTTATGCTCTGTGTTTTCCAGTTTGACAAAAATTCAGATATTCATCACATTGCTTTGCCCTAATTTTGCCCAGAATTTTACCTCCAGCTCTTGTTGGAGTAGAAGTATTCTGCCTCTCTCTCTAATGTAGTGATTAATCATTTTTTTAAAGTCATTCTAATCTGGCTTTTTTAATCAATGAAAGTGACCTATAGGCAGTTTGAAAGATATTTCATGGTGTTAAAACAAACATTCCGTTAGATAATTTTCTGAAGGGAATAAAAGGAAGATTGAGACTGGAATTTATATTTAGCTACAAAATAGAGTGTCCTCCTACATACATACAAGCAATTGTGTTTATGAATCACATTGTGTATGTGTATATATGTAGGTATATATGTATA